GAGAGAGAGTGTGTGAGTGTGAGAGTGTGTGTGAGTGTGAGAGAGTGTGTGAGTGTGAGTGTGTGTGTGTTAATACCTGCCATGGTGGATATTCCCAGCGTCAATCCGATGGACAGTTCAATCTGAGTGCCCTTAAAAAACAACACCACATGCGTCATCAGAGACGAGCACAAAGAGCCATGGAATAAAACATGCTCTCAAAAAAACACAACAGTATTTAAACGCAAGAAAATGACTCACATAATCACAATACCTCATGTTTTCACTGTTACTTGATGCGTATGATAAACAGACACAAATGAAAACCTTCAAGCTCTCAGATCTGCTGTTGTGTTTAGCACCTCAGTTCTTGGACTGCGGCTCTCTATAATCTAGTGCTGACAGCTGTGTGTGCTGATGTGCTGGGACTCACGGCGGCGATCATGATGGCGTTATCCAGGAAGCCGAAGCCGATGAAGGGAATGGCGTTGTGCAGGAGAACTAGAAAGCAGAAGATCCAGAGCTGAGAGAAAGATGAGTGAATGAGTGAAAGGAGCTGAGAGAGACATGAACTCACTGTATCTGAGCTGCGCCGCCGTCGGTGGAGACGATTCCTCCGAGTCTGAAACCAACAAACACACAGACACTCACAGACTTGCAATGGAAATAATAATACTCCACACACAATAAAAGATTTAAGCTTCTATTTTACTTGCTTATTCTTTTTTTTTTCTAAGTAGTAAATTATTTTTATTGCCATGTCAGCATCTAAGGCTATTTTCATTGCAAAAACTGAGTTGGGATAATACAAGAGTTACATAAACACAAAATAAAAACCAAGTTAAAATGATACAATATTTTATTAATTAACATTAGTGCTGTGTTCGATACGACGATGTATCGTCACAGAGATCTGACGATAAGAGTATGGATACAGCTGTCTCAGTATTGATATTGTGGCACGTGTGCAGCAGTGGACCGCGCTTAATCTGAACACATGAACAACGTTTAAAATTGAGTAGAAAAGTGTGAGTGTGTGTATGTATGAATTACCACTGTATGAGTGACTGAGCGTGTGTGTGCGTGAGATACAGAAGACAGCACATTAGTTTAGAACTCTTCTAATTTTAATTTTTTTAATGTAGAAAGTGTGTTGATTTGTGCAATGATAACCTACCAGCAATATAAAGATGATTATTTATATATTAGTAAGAGTGAGTG